GCAACCATTTTCAGCCATGGGCCGGTCCACCATCCCTCAGACCATGTGGTGGGCCGGACTATGTTTTTTGGGAAAAAATATGAACAAATTCCTATGCCCCACAAGTAGCCCTGAGATGCATTTTAAATAAAGGCACACATTCTACTCATGTAAGAACACCACGCAGGCCCCACACATAAGCCAGAGATGCATTTTAAATAAAAGGACACATTCTACTCATGTAAAAACACGCTGATTCCCAGACCGCCTGAGGGCCAGATTGAGAAGGCGATTGGGCCGCATCCGGCCCCCGGGCCTTAGGTTGCCTACCCCTGTATTAGAGAAATGACATACAGAAATGTATTGTACCAGAGGAAATTGCTTTGTGAAAATGTATACATTAGGCAAAACTGCACATGCAAATGTGTATATTAGGAGAAATTGCTGATGAATTTTCATGAGGACTTTAAAAATAGTAATAAAATGCCAAGTGATGTTGGGAAATGCAGAGAACAGAGCATAAGATTAGAAAAATAAGAAACTGAGAGAAGTCAACACTGATGCATTCACCCATAGCTATTCTTAAGGATAATATTTTATAATACACAGAATAATGATATACTGGTCAGAAAGATCTTTATTTCTGTGCGAAAAGGGTTCTCCCCAAGAGTGTATTTTGTTTTTGGATATTGGCATGGCAAATGGTTTTCTCTTCTTTGTTGTTTTTTTTTTAAAGGTTGCTTGAGGCAAGAGTAACTGGATATATATTACATGAACATTCTTGGAAACCATACGATAACAGAAAGTCCTGGATAATAAAGAATTTTATTTAAAATAAAAAATAGGGAGTTTATTTGATTCTCCAGTTGTGCAAATGGATTTTATGTACTTTAAAATGAGCTAATTTTGATAGATGCAGGAGCTGTAATAGAGATATGGTTACTGGAGCCAGACGGTATGAGTTTTCTCTTTCCGATCCTTCTGCTGAGAATTGCTCTGCTACTTAAGGAAGCCAGCAACAAGAAAATAGACAGAAAACGCAGGAATCTAATTCGGTTAAAGATAAATCAAGAGATAATTCTGATGAAACAAAGCTTTGTAGCCCTTGGAAAGCAGCTGCAGAAGCATGATAGAGCATCCCAATATAAAGGAAAATTACTTTGCTCTTTATACAAGCCCAGAATTCATCTTTTCATAGTTATTAGTGTGCCTTTGATAACATTAGTGTGTAATATTTAATTTGGTTCTCCTTGAGAAATCATCATATGTGAGTTCAAAGGAGAGGTGGGGGGGGGGGAAGCCATACGAGAGGGGTTCCCCCTCCTCAAGGCAGCTGATGGATCACGCTCTCAGCATGCAACAATCCAATGTGAGAAAAGAACAGTATTCATGTACTTCATCACTTGATTAACTTAATACTGCCATTCATCACAAGTCTGCCAGTACCACACGGAGAGATGAGTGGCCTTTAGATCTGGAATCCTGTCTGCTCATGGCTCCTTTTCTGAATTTGCGGCAGGGAAGAGCGAAGTGGTGGGGTGTCAATGTCAAGTCTGGCAGGTGAGTTCTAGTCACTCTCTGCCAAAGCTATTGCCATCCTATGCCCATTAATTCTACCTTGGGCTAAAAAGCTTCTTGGATAAAAATCCTTGGATGGCTAGCCTGCCTTGGAATCTTGTATAGCAGGATGCCTTTGGTATCTAGGAACATCCAGGAAAAAGGCTACAAAGCAAGCAAGCCCTCATAAAGCTCTCTTGACAGCAACCTATTCCTAGCCAGTCCCATTTTGGCTACAAGCTTGGTGGCACATAACACTTGAGTTTGCAGTTAGAAGGAATGCTGCAAGATTTCCTCTTTTCTACTGACTAACAAGCCAGTCACTAAGCTACTTTACAACTAATCTGTTTGCCAAGAAAAAGCTTTTCCTCTGTGTAGCACATTGCAGTGGGATTCTGACATATATTCCTTTCTGTTGCTTGCCCTGGTAATGTAAATTTTAACATAATTATGTAGCAGTTTTCTTGGAACACAGCCTACATTCCATATGTTTGTCTCTTTGTGATGGTTTGTTTCCTAAATCTCTGTGTAATCAGCTGGTTGGAAAAGTTTAGCACCTAGTCTTTTTCTTCTAAGGATATGTTGTTTTTCTGCTAAAGACCTCACTGTGCACAATCATCAGGAACCCAACACGTTCCTCTATTATTCACAGTACTGAAATATTTTGTTTATATTTGTTTACCAAAGTGCCATCACAATTGATTTGTACCGGCAAAGGAACTCAGTGAATTTTGAAATTTTGTCCAGCAATTAGCTTGCATGTCATCAGCAGTCTCCTGCACAGATACTGGCATCTGACAACTGGGAAGAGAGTAATACCGCTTGTTATCATAGTAGCCTATCACTTAGTCATACGATTGGATGCTTCAATCTAGTAGCTCAGCCCTGCCTACAACGCTGTGATCCTTGGAGGTTAGTTTGATGACTATAAGTAGTAGGTGTTTTGTTTGTTAAGGGGCTAAAATTGTGGAACTTCATGTTTTTTAGAGGAATATTGTAAATCCTTTCTATTCTTTTAATGGCATTTGTAACCACGGTGTGGTCATATTTTTAAAATTGCGTTGTGTTTTTTTTTAAAGCATTTTGAGCTGCCTGGTGCACCAGTCTGGGACTAAAAGGCATTTTATATAGCAGTCTTTCTATTGATGTTGGATCATAGCCAACATTGGTCATATACAGAGTAGACCCACTGAAATCAACGGACCTTAGCTTAAGTTGGATTTGGTTTCTTTATTTGTAAGCTGATTTGTGCCCGTGTTTTAGAAAAACGTATTCAAGAACTGTAACTAACAATTATTGCAAAGGAGACAATGGTCCTTGGGCAGATGGGTGTGTGCAATGTCTCCTCTCTACAGATGTCGTGTTCCTTTACTCCCCCCCCCCCAATCTAATAGTCCTGAGTTGGCTCAGTGACTGTTATTACAACCACAGGACAACCCATCAGTGTTTGTGTTTATTCAGCTAATCTTTGAGCACTCTTGACCTTGAGGTGCCATTAAGATGAGACTAATGCTGTGGCTCCACGAGGGTCAAGCTAGACATAATGATAACAGACCCGTCTTTTTAAATGCATTTCTGATGCAATTGTGTGTGTGTGAACTTACTGTGCATTTCCTGCTGCAGAATCATTTCTTGTCCTGCAGTTCCTGTTGCAGAGCAATAACAGCCATCTTGCTGAAGCAATGCCAGTAGCCATGTTCACATATAATGCTGAGCCAAGCCGTTGCTTAACAAGAAGGTGCTAGCTCCTGATGAGGGTTGCAGCTGCTTTGCTTCTCTCTGGTCCTTTTAGCTCACTGTGGTGTGGTAGCCAAGTCAAGGTTTGGTTTAATGTGTTGTCTGAACTTAGGATCATTTTAAAGATCTGTCCTTAGCTACTATTGGTAAAAGGATCCCTGACAGTTAAGTCCAGCCACGAATGGAGCAGCGCACAGAAACTGTTTACCTTCCCACCAGAGCGGTACCAAGTGCTTTTGAACTGCTAGGTTGGCAGCAGCAGGGACTGAGCAACAGGAGCTCACCCTGTCACGGGGATTCGAACCGCCAACCTTCCAATCGGCAAGCCCAAGCGGCACAGTGGTTTAACCCACTTGGCTACTATCGGTAGCCAAGATTTATTCTTTGCTGAACTTTTCAGGAGCCATACTTTTCACACAGCCCCATTAAACCATAGTTGGGCTTACCATGATATGTGAACCAGGCCAATATGGCGCCATGCCTGGAGTGTACAGATGGGTATTAACATTGTAAAATGGTTGCACACTGTCTAGATGCTAAAAGTCAACCAATTATATATTACATTTCTACTTTCTTCTTGTATTTTTTTTTGGGGGGGGGGAGGATTTTGAATTCCAGCCTTTCGCCCTTGGTGCATTTCATAATAGCACAAATTAATACCATAAATAAAAACATGCTTAGTCAGTCATCTGTGGACATTTTGCCTTATTCAACTATTTTTAATTTAAAAACTACAACAGAGTTAGATCCATCAAACGATGGAGAAGAGAGAAATGAAAAAAAATATTTGTCCAGGCAAAAGAGCCAATTTGTGGAGCCCTCCTGCTCCTCTTCAGGGTAGCATTCTGTATCTAAAATATTGATACTAAGCTGTTAAACATTGACATAAAACAACTGACTCAATCCAGCAATGGGAAACGTGTCGGAGGAACAAGTAATTAGCAAATGGTATGAACAAAGAGAGAAATAACTCCTAGTTAAGTAGAATATTGTAAATAATGGATTTTATTCAAACAAGCAAGAGTGTGAATTGCTATAAAGTAAATATCAATTATTCATGCCGTTTAATATTTTATTACACCCCTCATAAACATTTACATTAGAACAGCAGTGAGCTGTACCCTGGAGATTCAGCCTAAGCAAACAAGCTCTCCTCTCCTTTTCTAAGCTCCCGAGCTCACTGTCCATCACCACTTAAGCCCAGGATGAAGTGAGCTGAAAATTGCACCACTTCTGGAGGCTCCAAATCATGTCTTGCTGCTCCGTAATGAGAGGCAGCTTTAGGAATTTCTGAAACAATCATGTCAGGCTTTGAATGAGGCCGGCGCTGGAATAATCACATTCTAAACAGTTGCCCTGATCTAGCAGCTCAATTTCTACCACACAGAGCTCTGTGAAAGCAGGGCGTCTACAGTTTCAGTGCATCGGATTCATGTAGGGTAGTTCAGGCTGTGGTGATCACCTGGCTTGTCCTCTTAGCCAGCAGGGACCAACACAGTACAGGTGTACAGCCTTCACAGAGCAAGTTCCCAATGTCGAGCATAAGAACATGGCCAAAGGTAACAAGCTCTTAGCTTTTGTGTGGCCACCTCACATGCGCCTGGTTAGGGACCATGACACTGAATTAGGGGTACAGAAATCAGGGGGTGCCTGGGCTTCCATACCAAGATTGCAGCTGTGTTAGTAAGATGCTACACCAATGTGGCATGTGTTCCACTGTGAACTGTGGCCAGTGAATGGGAATTTATTTAATTTTATCTCCCATCCAAGTACTAACCAGGCCCGACCCTGCTTAACTTCTGAGATCGGGAGGAATCGGGTGCTTTCAGGGTGGTGTGGCTGTAGGCTGAATTTCTTAATTTCATCTAAAGCAGCCTTTCTCAACCTGTGGGTCCCCAGATGTTGTTGAACTACAACTCCCATCACCCCTAGCTAGCAAGGCCAGAGCTCGGGGATGATGGGAGTTGTAGTCCAACAACATCTGGGGACCCGCAGGTTGAGAACCACTGATCTAAAGAGTTCTATGCCACTCCCCACAAAATGTATCGAAGTGGTGAACAACAATGTAAAAGCTACATAAGAAATATATACACTATATGGTATACCAAGAATGAAAAGTAAAAAGTGAGCTGGTTGGACAAGAGTCTGGAAATGGTTGGGTGATCAAGAATGAGGGAAACACTTTACTGAAGATGCCCACCTGAATTCCAAAGACTGCTCCATAATAGGAGCTTTGCTGTTTGTTCCAAGCCCGTCCCAGACATTCTTCAATTACAGAGCCACTCTGTTCACTCCTTCTCATTTCTACTCTGTGCCCCTGACCACAGTTTCTAATCTTGGTTGGCTTGTGGCCCAGTGGTATACATAGATGACGTCATACTCAGGTGCCCCAGGCCCTAACTCTCCTAGGTGTGCTCTATGAGGGAATGGGGTTGTATATTCTGCTATGTCAAACCTTGCCAACGATTTGAAAAATGTGTTGCATCACAACATTAGGAATTGCAGCAGGTTTATTTTCTAAGAGCTGGACACTCCATAACAGTCGGAGAAAACAAAACAAAATGCCACACAGTCTGACAGAAAGATGTATGAAATAATGAGCAAGGAAAAGTGCAGTAGTTCAAAAAAGAAGGTATCAGGAAGATGTATATGCTATCTAACTTTTTTGGGGGTGGGGGGAATGAATTCTTTCAAGATGACTGACCATGGTTTCCTTTGATCTCAGTCACTGATTTCTTGACGATAAAAACTGTCTCCAAATATCCAGTAACTGGGTGACTAAGAGCATATAAACTGAAGCATAGATTTGTTACTCTGTGCTGGAGTTGCAAACTAATCCATATTAATGTCCCACTTGTGATAGCCAAGTGGGAAAGTTTCCAAGGCACATGCCAGTGAATGTGGCAGAGTCACATCTGTCCAAAGGAGAAGGATCCAAACTCTAGCCTGTGATTGATTTTGAAAAAATGATAATGGACTGATCAAGACTGATTAATTGCTCTAATTGCTTTTGCTTGGGTAATGTACACTGGCCAACCATGTCAGGATTGTATATTTATATTCATATTTGCAACATATATCTCTTCCAAAGTGTGAAAACTGAAAGCAGGACCTGAATGCAACAGAACCATCTCCACTTGTGATTCCCAGCAACTGGTATTCAGAGACAGTGGAGGTGGAACCTAGCCATTCTGGCTAGCAGCCACTGATAACCTTATCCTCCATGAATTTGCCTAATCTTTGAAACATAAACATTGTTTCTGAAATTCTGAAACATTTGAAATCTTTGAAACATAATCACTCACTGCTTTAATAAGACTCAATCTCCCCACTACACTTTGCAACAGCACCAGAGCCAGAGGAATTAACCAATAGTGGTGGGTGCAGGTAGGACAATGTTGCTTACCTGCCTCCTGGCAGGAGGGACAACGCTTAGGGAGCTTAGTGCCAGTCTGATGCACCTGCAACTACACCTACAGTATGCTTGCACCATGCTGATCTCCTCATGGCCCCTCCTTCTCAGAAACAGGCATCAACAATTGGTGTTTGGAAGGTAAGTGAGCAAAGATGCTCTTCCTACTGGATTTAATATTGTTTTAGTTTTCATTTCCACAAATAAAGCTACTTGTGTTTTACCTAGCCTAAGAACTGCCTTCTTAGTTGTCATAAACTGGAAAGACAACAGAGAGGAGGATCCCGGTGAAGGGATTAGCTACAGCTGGTACACACTGGGGCAAGCTGGGGATGGAGAAGTAGAGGTTGAAGGCATAGAAAGTACAGTGGTACCTCGGGTTACATACGCTTCAGGTTACACACTCCGCTAACCCAGAAATAGTGCTTCAGGTTAAGAACTTTGCTTCAGGATGAGAACAGAAATCGTGCTCCGGCGGCATGGCAGCAGCAGGAGGCCCCATTAGCTAAAGTGGTGCTTCAGGTTAAGAACAGTTTCAGGTTAAGAACGGACCTCCGGAACGAATTAAGTACTTAACCTGAGGTACCACTGTACTCACAGGGCAACAGAGGACAGTGAGGGGATGGGGGTCAGTGCACAGGAACCAGAGAGCAGGACCCATCACCAGAGCCAGAGGGGCCCCCATCTCCATGAACCCAGTGGGCTCTGAGGCATAGGGAGCAGTGGGAGGTACGCTCTAGAAGGCTGAGGCAGGCAAGGCACACAGACCAGCTCACTAGCTGGCTAGGTGGGGCTCATTAATTAAGGGAGGAGGTGTGTGATTCCTCAGCTGGATTGGGCTCAGGACAGGTAAGGATCACATGTCTTGTCAAGCCCAGATGCTGCAATCAAGGTTCAAGGGATAAAAGGGAAGCAGAGCTGCAGTGCTTTTCTGCTCAACTTTCCCATGTTGATGGACCACGGCTTGGATGTCCTAGGAGCTCCATGGGACTGTGCTTTTGGGGACTGAACTCCAGGTCCCCTAACCCTGGATCGGCAGTAGAGGCGGGAACCTGGCCTGACTGTTGGACTTTGGACTTGGCTTGCTGTATTGAACATGGACCATGTTTCTTGACCTGTTGGGTTGCCAGCATTTGCCCTGGGGACTGTATCTACCAGTGGGATTAGTCAGGAGGTTGAGGACATTATTTAACTGGCCGATGTCAGGGATGACAAATCCCTTTGTCAGAATGGATTTTGTCAACTGGCACTGGGCTAGTGCTCAGCAGCCATATCCAATGAATTATTATGAATTTGTATTGAACTAATTATTGAATTGTTTGTTTTTTCTTAATATGCTATTGCTTTCGTTAGGATGATATTAATAGAAATTTTGTAAAAGTGGCATAAAACATTACAATCAACCCCAGCCAGCATGGCCAAGAGTCAGGGATGGTGGAAACTGGAGTCCAAAAACATCTGGAGGGCACTGTATTGGTGAGATCTACCAAGAAAGACAATTATTCCTTTGGAAGGGGGCCATAGCTCAATGACTGAATACATACCTCCGTGTCCCATGTTCAATCCCTGGTATCACTAAATAAAAGGGTCAAGTAGCAGTCGATGTGACAGATCTGTTTCAGACCATGGAGATCCACTTCCAGGAAGAGTCATAGCAGTGGATTGGATAGACCAGAGTGTGACCCGCTAGAATGGTAAGGAATCTTCCTTTTCTTCTATTCCTTCTGTGCGCCAATTGAAATATATGTCTAAAAACGCTTATCCATTTTACAGAACTGGAGACAGTCAACATAAATCAGTCATACAGCTCATGTAGATCTTATAATGAAAGAGGTTACTTAAAGATAGTTTATTTTTAAAAACCAAAATTATTATATTTGTACAATTTACCTCTTTGTCCTATTGATTTTATTTGTCTTGGCAATATACAGTTGAAAGGGAGAAATAAAAATGGATTGCAGTTTAATTGTCTTGGAGAGATATTTTTTTTTAAAAAAATTGCTCTGGAATTTGATTTGGAGTTTCAGCAAGTGTGGTTTTTCAGCCATTTGCTTTTCAGCACCAATAATTCTAAAGCAAACGGTGTAATTCTGAGACAATTTTACAGTTTCTTTCTGACTTGGCATACTTTTTTATGAGCCGGGGGGAGGCAATATGTTTTAACAAACCCTACTGCATCCCTACCCCTCTTCTAAAAACAAACAAACTGAATCAAATTAGAACAAAAGCCAACCACCCTTGATCAAGGGCAAATCTTTAATAGCTTGGTAGCTATCCAGGAATCCACCCCCCCCCCAAAGTCATATAACAGTCTTATGTCTGTGAAACAGATTATTACTAGAGTTGAGCTGAATATTCTCCAATAAATCCTTTCAGTGAGAAAAATGGGCTTTTGAGGGAGTGAACGAATTACTGAAAGATGCTGAAAAGCCTGGCATTTTCTCTCACCAGCGCGCTGCTGGTGTATAGAGAGCCCCAGTCGATTGTTGCCAATTTGGTCCTTGTTAGGAAGTGTCATTATCACACAAAGTCTCTTCACACACCTTGCCAAGTGTTAAGTGAGGCCCATGGATTAAGGAATTATGACCCATTGTTGGAATGGAGGTTTTTTTACTTTGAAATTGGAATCTGAGAGCATTGTTTAAGAGGCTGTATTTGTGAAACTGGTACTAGAAACAGTTCACAAATGCTTTGTTTATTTAGTCTATGCTGCATTTCAGAGAGAAGCATCGCAAATGAAGAAAAAAAGGACCTCACATTTGATGTGCGGCCTTCGTTTGTAAGTTTTTGTAGGCTTGGAAATCTGGGTCTCCACTTAATACTGGTGGCAGCACAATCATATGCATGCCCAATGAGTGGTAAATACCCCTGGGTTCAATAGGGGTTAATCTCAGGTTTAAGTTTGTAGACTGGGGTCAAAGACTGGATAGCATTGCCATCTCATGTGTGACATCCATATGAAAGAGAATCTTAAACAAGTAAAAAGGGCAAATGGGATGTTTTTTCTGGAGACCTTTGATTGCAACAGTATTGGTCCCAAGCAGCACTTTTGTTAATCTAGTATTCTAGCTCACTTGATAGCCAGCTGACACTAAAAAATATTCTCAGAAAAAGACAGCCAAAATGATGAAGGGGATGGAGGAACTCCTTATAAGGAATCATAGAGTATTAAAGCTGGAAGGGACCCAAGAGTCATCTAGTCCAACTGCCCGCAATGCAAGGTAAAGCATCCATGACAGATGACCACCCAACCTCTGCTTTAAAACCTCCAAGGAAGGAGAGTCCACTACCTCTTGTGGGAGTCTGTTCCACTGCCGAACAGCTCTTACTGTTGCAGCATTTGGGACTTTTTAGTGAAAAGACGACTGAGGTGACATGCTAGAAGTTTATAAAATTGTGCATGGCATGGAGAAAATGGACAAAGAAACATTTTTC